CCCCCCCTATCTCTCGTAGTTTATGATACTAATAATAATAACGGACGTGCGAGATTCCGCTGCGGTTGCGCGGCTCGTCTTCGTCTACGTCTTCGTCGCAGTTCTCGCCCTTGCTTGCCGTCGTCGCTGTCTCGCCGCCGTCGCCGCCGCCCCGTCGCCGCCGCCGCAGTCGCCGTCGCAAGTACGCAAGTCGCCGTCTGTAAAATCACGCAGCCCGAGTTACAACCGGTTCGGGACACGCAGACCGAGAAGCTCGACGAGATGAGAAAAAAGCTTCCGAGACCCGGTCTGTGAGCTCTATACCCGCTGAGATATTGTACCTCGGACACGCCGGTGCAAACCCTCTCGCAGGCGGAAAGTAGAACAAAAAAATACACCCAGTCCTCCCTCGGCACGGAGTTATCTCACTAATAGAGACACGGAGATCGTGAACCGCCGATCGGGATCATCGGGAGGAATTAGGAACCCGCAAAAAGTAAAATGTAGAACGGAAAAAAAGCGGACTCGTCGGGATGCACGGGTTTACCCCTCGACCTCGCGTGATAGAGAACGGAAACAAAAAAAACATATATACGAGAAACGAAACACACGCATATGTCGGTCGTCGTCGTCGTCCTCGTCGGTCGCCGCATTAATCGGAAAAAGAAACGAAAGCGCAAAAACCGATAGAAACGCGCGAGCGGAGATTGTATAAACACGCTGTATTATAATGTGATGTGTGATATAGGACACGATGATAGTCTGTCTACGCCCGGCGACGTCCAACGACCGGATGAACCCTCGAACGGAGGCAGCCGGGCAGAACGGAGTAGAAGGTGGCTTTTCGGCGAGTCCGATGGAGGAGCGGCGACGTGGTTGGTGTGTTTAGCGAGAGGTAATTGTCGACCAAGTTAAGAACCCCGTGTGTTTACCACGTCGAGAGAAAAAGTATACATACCGGCACGTGAAGGGGAAACAATAATAATGATAGAAAAGTAAGAGAGGGAGACGGTGTATATATATCTCGTATAGAATAAAAGCGCTCGAACGAAGACGGGGTTGCGCGTTGCATACCGCATGTCGCATCCGAGGGGCGAAGTGTTCACCCCCTCTCCCCTCCCCCTGTACTACCTCTCTCGGTGTCGCGCGTGTAGAAGTGAAAAAGAACGAATAAAAAATAAGTCGAGAAAAAAAGAAAACAGACAAGAGAAACGCGCGTCGCACTCGTGGTTGTGATTCTCGTGCGTCCCTCGCCCCC